GACCAGCTGACGTCAGAGAATTGAATTGAGAGCTTCTTTCAACTATTTTTAACAGCTTAACACGGTCACTGCTACCCTAAAAGATCATTTACACATTGATTGCCAGCATATTAACATCATTTAAAGCAAGGGTGGATCCAGCTTTGGTGCCAGGGGGGAGACACATAGACGTGGTCATGTCAAGAGTTTGACGAAATATGTAAATATATTTTGTGAAGCTTTTGACCAACCAGCTCAGGGGGGCATGACCCCCCCCCCCCCCTTGAATCCGCCGTTGATTTCAAGGTAGATCTTATTTTTGAAATGTTTTATAGATCTTTCGAAGTGTCAACTGAGAACCAGCGGAAAAAATACTATACCTAGGTTTAATTGAAGGCCTAAATGTGTTAAAATAATTATGATTTAAAATACCTAATAGGTGTGCACCTTGGACTAAACTATCGTTTAAATAATTAGTCACACTGATTCCTATGAGCTTGTATGGAGATGCGCACACTACGATTTTTATTTCTGCAACTAAACAGTTGAGGCTGCGAAACAATCGACAATCGCATAACAGTTGTGCGATAGTTTAGTCAAACGGGCATAGAGCCCGCTCTTATTGTTTTTATTAACCATCATACTAATATTACGAGGGTGAATCAAAAAGTTCTTAGAAGTGCATATATATGAAATCTTTTTGGATCAAGTTCGATATTCAAATTAAAGAGTGTCTATCACACTATATTTATGCACACTGTCACTTGTTTTTGTCAGTTCGTTCGCATGTAATAATTTTTTTTGTGCAACGAGTTGCTAAAAAGTCAAAATTGTGGATAAAAGTGAGTTACGTGCGGTGATAAAATATCTCAGTTTGAAAAAAATGTCTACGAAGGAAATTTTTTTGGATATTCAGCAGACATTAGGGGGTGATGCTGTACCCTATTCTACGGTTGTGTACTGGGTGGCTGAATTTAAAAGAGGTAGATCAAGCTGTAAAGATGACCCGCGTTCTGGGCGGCCTTCAACCTCCGTTACAGAAGAAAATGTCAAAAAGGTTGAGAATCTGGTTTCGGAAGACAGAAGAATGACTATAACACATATAGCTGAGATCCTAAAGATATCTTTTGGTAGCGTTCAATCCATTTTAATTGATTCACTGGGGTTCAAAAAAGTGTCTGCAAGATGGGTGCCACGAATGTTAACCGACGAAAACAAAAGGCGACGTTTGGAAATTTCCAAGCGTAATCTCGAAATGTTCCAGCGTGATTCGGATAATTTTTGCCGTCGTCTTGTCACCATGGATGAAACGTGGGTCCACCATTTTGATCCTGAAACTAAAAGATAAAGCATGTCTTGGAAATGGCCATCCTCTCCATCCATCAAGAAATTTCGAGTTGCTCCTACCGCTGGCAAAGTTATGGCCTCTGTGTTCTGGGATAGTAAAGGAATCCTTTTTTATTGATTACATGCCAAAAGGCCAGACGATTACTGGACCCTATTATGCAAATTTAATCCCGAAAGTGCGTGAAGCGATTAAAGAAAAACGTCGTGGAAAACTGTCGTTGGGCGTGTTGTTCCTCCAAGATAACGCTCCTGCTCATCGATCGGAAGTTGCGCTCAACGCAATCCGCTGTGCTGGCTTCAATCTCCTTGACCACCCACCATATTCTCCGGACTTAGCCCCAGGTGATTTTCACTTATTTCCAAAATTAAAAGAGGAAATTCGTGGAACAAAATTTCACGATAATGACGCGGTTATAGCTGCCGTAGAGGACTTTTTCGAGTAAAAAAAAAAATTTTTTTTCAAAAGGAATAAGGAAGTTAGAAACGCGTTATTCTAAATGCATTGCATTGGAGGGAGATTATGTCGAAAAATAAAATATTATTATTTAAATCTTTGCATTTTTTAATATTGATTCCAAGAATTTTTTGATTCATCCTCGTATAAATGTGAAAGTTTAGATGGATGGATGTTTGTTGGAGTTTGTAGTCAAAACAGCTGAACGGATTTCGATGAAATTTGGCATAGATGTAGAGGATAGTCTAGAAGAACACATAGGCTATTCACTTGTTTCGTTTTATTGTACGCGAACGGAGTCGCGCTAGTAGTTTATAAAATTTGGAACAGTGTAAAAAATGAAGGTTGGAAGTGTGAAATTTTAAAAACAAACACAAATCAAATTTAAATCATTTTATTTCTTATTTAATACGACATGCATCCTCGTTAACTAACACGAAAATAAGCGTTTTTGCTACAAAATACAAAACTAAACTTCGACACAGATGTCAAATTACAAAAAAAATTGAATTTACCTTGCCAAAACATTTTGTACAGAAACATACACAAATATGAGAATATTGAATTTTCATTCAAATATGAGGAGTATAAAACTAACGTTCAGTTCGAACTGACAATTTAAACTGTACAGTCGAACTGATCAATTAAAACTGCGTGGATAAACAAAAGAACTAACCAGTTCAATTGAAAGTTATTTTTTGCCTATAGAAGTTTCAAATGATCAGTTCGACTGACAGTAAGCTAAACGTCTGTAATACTAAAAGCAAATATGCTTTAGTCCAGCTGTTTTAAAACTAATTATACCGAATACAAATAACAATTAGCTATTTCTAGTATCAAAAATTAACAATATGTATTGAAAAAGCTTTTATACTCTTCATATCTGAATCCAGTAATTTAATAAGATACAAAAATGTCTACATTATTAACTAAGTTCAAATTTTAAGTAATAAAATCCGGTAAAAACATTTTCTTACATATTTTTATAAAATGAAACTCCATAAAAAATATTCAAGATGAGCTATACGACAAATAATTGTGCATTCAACGATTTGTACAATTTTTAATTTAGTACCATTAGGATTTAAATCAAAAGGCCTAGAAAAATTGATAAATCTTGGCTCTTCATATAATTTAATATAAATAAAATAATGGCACTTTATAAATTAAATTAAGAAATTATCCAAACATTTCTTACGTTGTTTCTGTTTTAGTAGTCAATCATAAAACAATTTAATTTAAATTTAATACAGCGCCATCTCGTGGCTAAACTGAAATTTAAATTTAATACAGCGCCATCTAGTGGCTAAACTGAAATCAAATACCTCAGATCAGTTTTATATGAAAAATAAACTTAACAGCGCCAAATAAAAAAACTGCAGTTTATGTGGCAAGGCATTCGATATAAAACATGTGTTACCATTAGCTATATTCGAGCTATATACTACAGATTAAATAATTGTATACTTACATAGAAAATCGGTGTGCCAGTTTGTGCCAGTTCAAAAAATAAACCAAACAATTCGCTTAGAAACTAGAAAAATATTGCACAATCACAATAGGCCACAAAAATATCTTTAAACATATAATCGTTGTCAATAATTTAATGGCAAGAATACTTTCGTTTTATAACAAAATAAACTAAAAAAAAATCACAAAAAAATGAGTATTACAAGTGAAAAATCCTACCTCGAGTGTCGTTCAAAAATATGTCTTTTTTTACAAGTCAATGCAACGCGGCGCTTAAAGGTCAACCAAATGAATCCAGGGGTACACAACCTTTACCTTATATTATCATCTAAAAGTATGTGTTTTAGTGTGGCAGAAACGTCCAAACAATTACAATTTTATTGGTGATAAATAATTTAAAAGTGATACAAAAATGAGCGACAAGATAAAAGGTTGAGTACCCCTGGATTTCCACGCGCCCTCTAACGGCTACAAAACGCATTTATCACTTATATTTACAATTCCTAATCGCGACAAACTACTTTTTAATTATTTCAACTTCAGTGACATTTTAATGACACATGTCTGTCTTGTCATTGAGGAATGACATATGTCATTACAAATATCGCCGTCGAAACAATCCATACAAAAATGCCCGCTAATGTAACAAATTCGACGCTAAAATGATTTACACTACGAAATGCAAAGAATGGATATCAAACATCAAAATACTAACCCTCCAAAGAACACTTTGACAACTGTCATGACAGTTGACAGTACATTGTTAAATCTCGCAGACAAATGACGTAAAATGTCAACAATAAAGTGATAGTTTCAATTTTTTGACGTCAAATTTGATTAAAGAAAACTGCTTTAATTTAAACACACTAAAATAATCATTTTTACCTTAAATTGTCAGTATAAGTCAATTTACTACGAGATTAAAAGACATACTATAATGAACCGTAATCCCATAGTATTAAGCCTTACTTTCAAATACCAAATACTTCATACAAACTTCATACAATCCTTTCCATTTAAAACAAACAGCTACATATCAACATTTTAACATACATAAGAGTAACATGGTGACCTATACATAACTACTTATGTACTGTGACTTACATCTAATTGTCAAAAATAGCAAAGTGCTCTGTCAAAAATACATACGTCCCATACAAACACATACATGAAGGAAATTTTATACAAGGGCGGGGATATACATGCCGCACTGGAACACTTGAATGCACACTACTGGCTTGTGTGAGAACTGGCATACCAGTAGGTAGCAAATTATTTTGACAGCTGCAGGCATCCAGGTTAAAGGGGGGATTGGGGACAACGAGTAACAGTTACTATTCCATTTTACTGGCACATGTACATTGCCCCAGTAACTGGCTTGACATATTTATTTAATTTTACTGACATTTTTAATAATGCGACAGTAACTGGAATGCATAAATTATTATTCGGGTTTACCGGCATGTGTATTCCCGCCCTGTTAATCACAATTGTATGGAATACTGACACTTGTAATGAAGCATGTCTTTATACAAGTTTTTAGATGTAAACTCGGACTAACTATAAACATTCGAATTGTAGAAAAAATACTATTTTACTGATCCAACATTATTCCAATGATCATAAAATTAACTATATTTTGCAAATTTTACAGCGGACAATTTAAATTAATTTCAAACAGTTTTATTGAACGGGTATTAGATTATTTAAAAATTTTTTCATTTAAAAATTAACTTCAGTACTTTTTAAATAATTTTTAACTCATTGGAAACAAAAAAAAAATATCTTTTTAATAATTTTATTGTCAAAAATTTGACTTATTTAAAGTGCTGAAAACGAAATAATTTCAGTATATTATTTTTTTTGAAAACGCCATGTTTTAATGTGATTTTGACTAGATTAAGACTTTCCCCTTATTATTCATGTTACATTTGTTCAAACAGTATTCAATCGTTCAAATATGGCTTGTCTGTGTTAACAACATTCAAATTTCAACCTTATTCCTAGCACATAAATGCTTAAATACAATAACTAACCGTATCACGAACCGAACTTAATCACTCCTTAGTCTATTTGACAAGCCATTTCTAACGCTAGTACTTACGTAATAAAGGCGTTAAGAACACTGTCTTTTTCAAACATTACGATATCCCGCCTCGAGAGTTTTATTTATTTCAATTTGAACCATATTCATAACAAATTAAAAGCGAAAATTTAATACACTAAATGAAACATTCAAATAATGATAGAACAAAGTACACTGGAAATATTAATGAAACAAGTTAATTAGACTGGAAATGTTTTTTACCCCTGACTTATCAATATACAAAGTATATCAATGTTGGTGACCCCTGTCTGTACAATCGCGGAAACTATTATTTTAATTCCGCGCGGACATAGCACGGCGACAGCTAGTGTATAATATTAGTAAGGTGTTAATTGCTTCCTATATGCATGTCAAATATCCCATTTAAGTATCATTACTAAGCCAACTGTTTACGTGGTGTATACATGCAGTATACATGTATACATGTGGTATACATGTTGTATACACGTGGTATACATGTGGTATACATGCAGTGTACATGTTATATACATGTGGTATACATGCAGTATACTTGTTGTATAAATTATGTATACATGATACATGTTGTATACAAGTGGTATACACGTTGTATACATGGTGTATAGATATAATGTTCGTAAGAGACGGGTTTCTTCGCACAATTATCTTGTTTTAGCTACAATATAAAGCCAAATTTAAGTCTCTTTCTTTTTACCACCCTTTTCTTATAAGGAGAGGATGAGAAGGGGAAGTGGATTTGACAGTGGAAATGCATAGGAAGGGGAACACTCTTTATGTGCGTCTTCTCCTCCGTCGGATAATAGGCAACGCATCCGTTATTGCAGATATCTATGGGTTGCTCGTTTGCCACCTTATGTTATAAAAAAAATATCAGGAGCTAAAGCAAGCTAATTTTGGTAAGAAACCAGTATCTTAGGGACATTATATTTATAAAAAGCAGACTGTTTAAAGTTATATATGCGGTGTAGAGATGTCTAAGTGATGAGGCGCGGCGCGTGCAGGCCGTGCAGGCGGCGCGCCAGCGGCGGGCGGTGCTGCGGCGGGTCGGCGGCGCGCGGCGCCCAGTCCTGCAGGCGCGCGCCGCCCGCCAGCCGGTGCGTCAGCCGGTGCGCGATCGAGAACCCGCCGCTGCCCTCCAGTTGAGTCAACACTATTATCACTTGCCTGAAATCAAATAGATATGTAATATGTAAAATGTAATAGAAAAAAGTGCAATGAGTGATTGAATGAAATGGGTAAGTGAATGAAATTATTATAATTGATTACAGATTAAGATCCTTTATTATTTTAGAATGTACATTTTACTTAAACTAAGTTTGTATATTTATTATAAATTTTATTTATAAGCTCATGAAATGAGTGAATGAATTTAATAAGAGAACGAATTAAATGAGTTACTGAATCAAATGATTTAATGAATGAAATGAGTGAGTTAATTAAAATGGTAAGATGCTTAATTAAATGAAAACATTTTGTCCTGTATAAGTGTATACCGACATGCCACATAAAAAGTTGGCACGTCATTACATACAATGTGGTAGTAATCAATGTGCCAACCTGTGCAGCGGCGGCACGGAGTCGATGGTCTTGAGCTCTCCCCGCGTGGAGACGACATTGTAGCTCTCCTGACAATCACACTTCACGTGGATCCACTTGTCCGTGTGACGGTTCTCTACCATCACAACCAGACCAGCCCATCCCTGGAGAACAGACATATAAGCAAAAAAAATAATATAATTACTCTCCCCGCTAGGAATTTAAAAAAATAGTAGCCTATGTGTTCTTCCAGACTGTGTTCTACATCTGTTTCAAATTTTATTAACATCCATCCATCCATCCAAATTTTATATTAGTAAGAAAGATTTACTGTGAATTTCATATTACTTGACTGAAAAAAATAATTGTTTACTCTGTTCTTTCTTTTTCAGTGTTCGAGAGAGATAACAACAGTAGCAATACTAAAAAAAACTAATAAGGAGTTTCTATTACCTTGACAAAAAAAACACTTTTGACTAAATTGTACTTCTGTTATTTGCACATTCATAAATAAATTAAAAAAGCACCTGTTACCTTAGTAAGATAATACGCAGTCATTCCCTGTCTACCCTCATGTCGTTGTCCGCGCGCGAGTGTCAGTCCGATGATGGCATCAGCCAGGATGTGAGGATGCAGCGAGGGACGCTCCACCGCCAGCGGCTTCGAGGAGTGCACCGCCAGCACGTGGCGTGGCCAGCCAGCGCTGTCCGCTAGCTCCAAGCCAGTATGCCAGTGGTTGAATGCGAGACATACTACTAGATAGAAGCCTTTTTCCAACATCTTGTGGCAGCCAACGAAGCCGCGGACCTGGAGAAGTAATTATATTGTGGTTAAAATTATTTTTACTCACTAAATAACAATAAAGTATATTTTATAGGAAAATATAGCGTTCGGTGTTTCTAAGAAAATCGAAAGGGAGAGGCAGAGAGAGAGAGATAGATATTACCATGGAGATCCCGTGGCACGTTTGCCTTCTTTAGAGAAAAGTAGCAAAAGGAAGTGAGAAAGAGAATTACAGTTTTATCCAAAAACGAAAAGTAATTAATCTCTTTACTCGCTTTTATTTGGGTTGAAGTTTTTTAGTAATTCATTAGCAAGTTATCAAAATCTAGTTGAAACATGTAATATGTACAGAAAGAGAGAGAGGGGAGAGACAGAGAGAGATATCGAGAGAGAGAGAGAGAGAGAGAGAGAGAGAGAGAGATCGAGAGTGCGAGGGGGAGACAGAGAGGGAGTATATACCTGTCTCTTGCTGTGTGCGACCAGCTTGCCGACCTGCGCGCTGGGCCCCGACTTGGTGCGGAACACAACCACGCACAGGTCCAGCTGCGAGCGCTGGCTTTTCGCTGAATTCCTGAAAAACATACAAACAACATTATCTAATACTAATATAATAAAGCGTAAACAAGTATTTGTTATGTAGGATGTGAGCAATCGCAGCATATTTATGAATAATTCTTTCTTTAATCAAAAGTTCTATACTTACACTATACAGTTTCACGCTATTAAATTATGGGAGTGAATAAATTGTAAAAAAAAAACGGTGATGTGAATAGACATAAACTACAAGCCTATAATAAATGTTTCCTAACGGTTCCATCTGTCATCTTATTGGTGATAGTGGGAATAAAAGGTGGGACGGATGACACTTTTTTCTCATCTGTCCCCACGTAGGGACAGGGCGAGGTGACGGTTGGGAATTATCAATTTTTTAGAAATGTTAATATTCCTAAGTTAAGTAAGTACATGTGTGGCATACCTCTGTCCCTCCTGGAAGAGAGTGAAGTCGACCTCCGTGGGGTGCGTGGCGGTGAGCAGCAGGCAGGTGAGGTGGCGCGTGGAGGAGAGCGGCGGCAGGATGCCGGCCAGCCGCGTCTCGTGCCACCCCACGCGCACCTTGCAGATGTCGATGCAGTCGAAGTACCTGCACAGATACTCGCTTTAACACCACACAGAATAAATACTATTTTTTTATAGAATAAGGTGGCAAACCAGCAAGCGGCCACCTAAATTCGCCAAAATGGCGAAGCAACCACTGCCAATAGATATCTCTACACAAAAATCCAGCACATAAAACATAAAATCATACCCTATACCCTGTTTGTATTTAATTTGTGATTACTGCCAATGCACGCTAAAATATTATTTTGTTGTTTACATGTGTCAAATTCTCAATTGCATATGTCAAAACTATATTGTAACAATGTACATACTATTTTGTAATAAAGGAGGAGTTTGTTATGTACATTATAACATCATTGTGTATAAAATGTATGTGCTGAGTAGCTTTAAATAAATTAATAAATAATCGACGGAGGAGACGTACATAAACAGGATATTTCCACCTTCCTATGCGTCTCCTCCACCGTCAAATCCACTTCCCCATCCAATCCTTTCCTTATAAGAAAAGGGTGTAACAGAAAAGGGCCTCCGGCACCACACTCATCAGACTGTAGGCGGAATTGCTCCCACTTCACGCATGTCTCCTATGTGGTCGTAGTACACCGGGCGAGCCCGCCAATTCGCGCGAAGATGTTAAAGCGGGCTCTACCACTGTCAAAATGGAAGTAATTCCACCTTCAGTCTGATGAGTGTGTGATAGAAGTTATTTCAATCCTCTTGCTCTTTCCACTCCTTTTTTTAAGAAAGAGCGGGGAAGTGGAATTGGCGAGGGTAGGGAGAGCGAAAAAAAGGAATCCTCTTTCTGAGCTTTCCCTCCACTGTTTGTTCAAAGACTTCGCTTTTTCGTCGAATTCATCAACTACGCGTGAGTAGCAGATAATAGCAACTATAATATTTAAACTTCTGTATTGACTTACTTCAAAACATCATCAAATCCAATCCAAAAGACGCCATGATCTCTATCATCAGGCGCAGTATGCGGGGCCACTGCTCTCCGCAGTGCATCCGTCCAGCGGGGGCACGCGTGCGCCCACGCGCCGCGCCACGTGTAGTGCCCCCAGGGGTTGCGCAGCCGCAGCAGGCGCAGGGGCTCACCAGTGCCCCCCGCAGTACCGCACAGCTCCACCACGTCCAGTACGGAGTACGCGTGCCGCGGACGAAGACCGAGACGCTGGTATTCTTCTTCATCGACCTGAAAAATATTAACATAAAAGATATATAAATGTGATGTATATAGACTAGCTTTCGCTCGCGACTCCGTCCGACTGGAATTAAAAAAAATAGCCTATGTATTCTTCTAGACTATCCTCTACATCTATACGGAATTTAGCTGTTTAAGTTACAAACTCTAGCAAACATCCATTCAACCAAATGTTCAAGGTCACCTTCGCATTCCGAAATACTTTTCTAACCTCTACGTCTCAATACACATAAAGTAATGTTTAGCGCAGGAATACTCTTACTCGAGCTGAATAAAAATGTTTATGCGTCCCCTCCCCCGTCAAATGTTCATTCCCTTCCCACTTTAAAAAAAAATCCATTCTATTAGAGCAGAACATTAGCCCTATTATATTAAGAAACCCGTATCTTACGAACATGGTAAACATACCTTCATATTGCCGCCGCCGCAGCTGGCTCCCATAAGGAAGCAGGCCTGCCGCGAGGACAGCAGCTGCGCCCACACCAGGTCGCGGTCCAGCTGCTCCAGCGGCGCGCCCGCCCCGCTCGCGCCCGCGCCCGCGCCGCCCGCGCCCCCCGCCTGCAGCGACACCGACTCGCACGGCGCGCCCGTCAGCGTGCACAGACCTGCCACACGTACAGTCGGGGTAACACGCGGTGTCCCACTTTGACACTCTTACTAAATTAAAAGAAAAACAAAAACACTTATGCAGTGTTTTTTTATAAATAATTTTACTTTTAAGATAATTATTAATTTATTAATAGTATAAAGAGAAAAAAAATGCATTTATTGTATTTACGTGTGTATTGAAATAACTCAAAAAGTACTGGGCCGATTTTAAAAATTATAAACTACGTTATCAGTCAGTGACATGTGCTATATTTTTTTATTATTTCACGTGGACAAGGTCGTAAGCAACAGCTAGTATAACATAAATGCAAAAGTGTAGATGGATGGATTTCTGAATGGATATCAATGAAATTTGGGCTACTACTGTTTTTTATTCCACGCAGACAAAGTCGCGGACGAAAACTAATAAGTAAATAAAAAGTAGCCAATATGTTCTTCCAGATTATGTTCTAAATCTGCGTTAAACTTGTCCCGGAGATATCTTCCAACATCCATCCATACTTTAGTAAGATAACTAGTGAAAGTACCTTCAATAGCTCTACCGGAGACCAACGCCTCATAGCAGCCGTGAAGTTTCGCGACCGCTTTTTCTATCAGCGGCACCCAAAGTTGTTTCCTTTTTGCCTGTTAAAACAACATGGATTTACAATTACCAACAATAAAACAAAATAAGCATACAAACGCTAACAGAAAATGTGAATAAACATAAAGTAAACACATGAGCCATCCCTTATAGCAGTCAAGGAATTAAATTCGTAGTCCACTTTCAATCAAGTACAGTACAGTAATCTTTTACAATAAGAACTATAATTTAAGAGTATGTATGTTGTTATTACAAGTTATCGACCAAATTGCATTATAAGCATCCTTTTCAAACTGTACCCACCAACTTATCTACTGACCGAATAAATGAGTGAACGAACCGTATGAATTTGAATGACTGACCTGTGAGTACACGAGCTGTCCCTTCTTATTGCACGGCAGTAAATCATCAACAGTGACAGTAAGCCAGCGGCCGTCCTTACACAGCCGCAGCTGGTACGCGCCGCGCGCTGGCTCGCCGCGGACCACCACGCCGCGGACCAGAGCTGAGCGCTCAGCCAGCACGGCTAGAGCTGACAGCAGCCAGCAGTTACCTAGTACACCTGGAAGGGAAACACAACAAATCTATTTACAAGTCAAAAGTTAAATCTTATCGGCGAGAGGTCATTACGTAAAATGCACAAGATAGAAAGAGATAGACTATAGTCAACTCCATAGTCATTTTTAAGATTAATAACATATTGTATCGCTGCAAGTTGGGTATAATAAAAGACTTATTTGTACCACTAAACCAATCCAAAATCCATACATAGACAATAAATAATTAAATTCGACTATACAGTCGAACCTGTAACATTTCTCATGTATAGAATAATCAGAAATATAAAAACCCTCGCTATGTTGCGGATAAGTGTGAAACTAATTTATTTGCGTACTTTAAAGAGATGTAGATTGATTTGTTCTTAGTAAAAATGAGATGGTAGGAAATTTTAGAACTTGCATAATTAGAGTGAGCAATGCGTAGGCTGATGTGCGCAATTTTTGGATAAGCGCATACTGAGTGTGGGCAACTGTACACTTAGAGTGGGCAACTGTATACTAAGTGTGGGCAACTGTACACTTAGAGTGGGCAACTGTATACTAAGTGTAGACAACTGTACACTAAGTGTAGGCAACTGTACACTAAGAGTGGGCAACTGTATACTAAGTGTGGGCAACTTTATACTAGGTGTGGGCAACTGTACACTAAGTATGGGCAACTATATCCTAGTGTGGGCAACTGTATCCTAGTGTAGGCAAATGTACACTTAGGAGTGGGCAACTATGGTCAAACCTTGCGAGATATCTGAAGGTCTGGGGTCGCGGAACACCACCCAGGGCAGCCTGGGGTCCGCATCCACGTGTATCTGGTGGGGGCGCAGCCAGCGCGCCGCCGCGCCGCCCTCGCCCGCGCCCGCGCCCGCGCCGCCGTAGTACAGCGAGCGCGCCGCCGCCGGGAACGACTCGTCCACGTACGGCTCGCCAGACTGATATATTCATAGGTTGTTCATCATCACCAGCTCACTATACGTCCCCACTAAGGGGCTCTGAGCCTACCCTAAGGTAGGGTGACTAGGACATAGTCAACCACGCTGGCCCACTGCGGTTTGGTTGACGTCACACATATCTTTGAATTTCTTCGCCGATATGTGCCGGTAACATCACAATGTTTTCCTTCACCGTAAGAACGTCGGGTAAATTATGTACATATAAAAATTCGACAAATTGAAAATCACATTGGTACAGCGGGATTGGAACCCAAGATCTGTAGATTACAAGTCAATTGCTTAAACCACTGAGCCACCGACGCTCTTGGTTATTACAAAGCACCAATACCCTAATGATTTGTAGTAAGGACTACAGATCTTGCGGTCGAAGATTCGAATCCCGCCATTCGACTATTGTGAACCATAACAAGGCTACAGCTTAGTTGGGATGGTTTAAGGAAATATTAGTTAATTAGTTAAGTAGCCTACATTTTCTTTCAGGATATGCTCAACAACTATTCCAAATATCAAGTTCCTGACCCGTTCTGGAGATACATAGTAAAAAATATCCATCCATCTATACTTTCGCCTTTATAGTACTCGTAAAGATAAATATAGTAACTGACCGCGGAGCACTGCGCCAGCACCTCCTGCCACTGCGTCCAGGCGTGGCTCTCCTCACGCAGCCGCAGGATCTCCATGGGCGTGCTCTCCTGCCGCTCCGCATCGGAACCCTCCGCTGTTAAACAATATATTTTTAATAAATACAGACCAAACCCTTCCTGTTCAAATTACAGAAAAATTGTTTTTTTCCTTGTTGTAGTCAGTTGAGAAAACGGTGAGATAATAAAATACCCCCTTCTATTATCTCACCGTTTTCTTTTTTGGTAAACATTTAAAAGCCGAGTCCTAATGGTAATTGTTCAGCTTTGTCTCAATGTGTACTAAAAATTAAAACGACTATTATTTAAAAAGTGGAACACCGCCAGATTCCCTGGTAGTACATTATAATACAGATTATAAGAGTGTTGTGCAAATGTTTTATGATTGTTGTGTGTGTTGTTACTACAACACATTATTTTTGTACTAGTGTTGTATGCGTGTACTACGAGTGTAGCGCGAGTGTTGTACTAATGTAGTATAAATATTGTATTAGTATTGTACCAACATCACAGGAATGTTATACGATTTTTGTACGAATATAGTACTCGACTTGTACGAGTATTGTACTAGGGATGTACTTTTATTCTACAAGTGTTGTACCATTATTACAGGAGTGCTATATGATTTTAGGACGAACGTTGTACTCGAGTTGTAATTGTGTTAAACGAGTGTTACATTATTGTACTAGTGTACTATAGTACGAGTGTTACATTATTGTACTAGGGTACTATAGTACGAGTGTTACATTATTGTACTAGTGTACTATAGTACGAGTGTTAAATTATTGTACTAGGGTACTATAGTACGAGTGTTACATTATTGTACTAGGGTACTATAGTACGAGTGTTACATTATTGTACTAGTGTACTAATGTACTAGTGTACTAGTGTACTGGTGGTGTACTAACGCTCGTCATCATCGTCCAGCGAGGGCTGGTCCGGCGCGGCGGGCAGCAGGCGGCTGCGCGGCGACTGGCACATCTCGCAGGCGGCGGCCGCGCTGTTCACATACGTGCACTCCGAGCACGCCCACTCTGCTGACTCCCTAACGGAAAATAAAACATAGTTACATACGCTACGGACAAATTGTTTGTCAAAATAGTTGGCAGTAGATGGTCACTTATGCTATATGTATATTAAAGTAATAGGTTTTTCCTGCGACTGTGCGCGGAATTTTACAAAATTATTGCAAGTAGTCCATGTTCTTCCAAAATCTTGCAAATTTCATAGAAATCCGTCCAGCTGTTTTGGAGATTCGTATTTACAAATGTCCATCCAACTTTCATATTTATATTAATATGAAGTATGATTTATTTGCGAAGTCATCTTAAACCTGTACTTTCAAAGGTAAATACCGTTATTAATTAAATCGCATTTAAATAAATAAATAAATAAATAGAATTTTTATTGCCACAAAAAAAAAAACTACATAAACATTTAATACACAAAACCTTAGAGCTAATATAAAAAAGAGAGGGAAATGTGGCAAAAGGTGGCAAGCTCAGCTAATGCAGGGACTGTGCTGGTTTTCAGCTGGCCCCTTTACACATGAGTATTAACACATAAGTAGGGTGACTTACTTGTTATCAGGGGGCGGAGTCTTGTGCGCGCGGCGAGGCAGCGCGGGGGTGTGTCGGCTGCGACGCGGGGACGGACTGCGACCTGGGAAATAGAATAATAACATTAAAATACTTTAATTAAAATGTTTTATGATCATGTCAACGTGCCCGAAACATTGTATCGTGTGACATTTATGGAACGCGTGGTAGTGGTTTGCCACCCCCGCATTATGCTTTTGGCGTTTAGTATTGAGCGGGTCGGGCCGGTCTATTCATGCGAAGATGTTAACAGTGGTAGAGTCCGTTTTAACATCTTCGCAGGAATGGGCCTGCTCGCCCGGTGAAATACCATGACCACACAGAAGGCAGGCGTGAAGTGGAAGTAATTCCGCGTTTCGTCTGTTGAGTGTTGAGCCGGAGGCCTAATTTTAGTCCCTTTCCCTTTCCACTCTTAAGAGGAAAGGATGGGAAGGAAAAGTGGATTTGACGGTGGAGAAGCATAGGAAGGGGAAATGTCCTCTTCATGTGCGTCTCCTCCTCCGTCGATTGAGTAGACAACGCATCTGCAATTGCGGATGTTTATGGGCAGCGGTCGCTTTCCATTTTGGTGGATTCTGGTGGCCGTTTACTCGTTTGCTACCTTATATTATAAAAAAACGGGCTGTACCACTGCTAAAAGGCATATAAAAGAGATATAATATACCAGTGGGCGTGTCTAGCGCGGTGGGCGTGTGCGTGGGCGTGTGTGTGGGGCTGTGCGGCAGGGTGGGCAGGGTGGGCAGGGTGGGCAGCGTGGGCAGGCCGTGGCGCGGCACGGGCGGCGTCTTGCAGGCCAGGCACAGCGCCGCCGACTGCGGGTTGCGCAGCGTGCAGCAGCTGCACCACCTGCAAACACAAATACATTATAAACAATGAAATGTTCTCACTAGAGTACAAAAATAAACGCTGAATAAGAGCCTATCCCACTACTGGCTGATAGCTATTCAAATACTAGCTTTTGCCCTGACTCCATCCGAGGGGAATAAAAAAAAATTAAAGAACAATATCTTGTACCTTAAACGGCTCAATGGATTTCGATGAAATTTGGCATAGATGTAGTTGATAGTCTGAAAAACACACAGACTACCTGCTTTTGTTTCTTTTTAATTCCACGGGGACAAAAGCTAGGTCATAATTAATTTTACAGTGCGATAGTTTTATTGTGTTTGTGTGTATGTGTGTTTACCAGTAGTTGTGTTGCGCGGGCCGAGATCCGGCGCAGGCTGCGCACGCGCTGGCCGCGGGCTCGTTGACCAGCGTGCAGCGCGCACACGACCACGCCCCCGCGCTGCCGCCCCCACTACCCTCCGTACTCGACACTGAGGGTAGTTTGTTGTGATTTTGAGTAATACAAATAAAGTAAAGAATAATTTACTTGTATTTCAGATTAATCCAGAATAGTGCATTATAAATTAAAAAGGAAAATTGAACCACAAATATCATTTAACTAGTTACTGAAATTTTCTTTTTGCTGTAACAGCTCAAGGAATGGGTACTCTTTTTTATCAAACAAACAGAACAAAGTTATAGTCCTAAAAGAAATAAACTATGACAAGTAATGTACAATTACGGAAATCCGGTGTTACTTCTAAAATTGCCTTATTTCATACGAGACAAACTTCGCCTCATCTTACAAATAATCAATTAACAGTGAGTTGCACAAACGACGGTATAATAAAAGCTGCCGACATTTTTTCGTACAGACACGAAAGCTGCTTTCTATTGGTTATTGTTCCTTCATCTCCTCGTACAAAACGAAAAATTGAACACCGACAAATTCTCTGATTGTACTTGTAGTACTTACCGACAGCGAAAAGCAGTTCATCACTGTTGAGGTCGTGGTCGAGGGAGGCGATGGGCACCTGCAGCTTCCGCGCCGGCTCCTGCTTCACACCGCTCTCCGACGACGTGGCTGGTCGCGGACTGCGGTAATTATAGCATTTGTAACCTCTGCTTACCTATTATTTAGGCGGCGTGAATGTTGTATTTACCAAGCATTTCACTTGAAAGGATTTTATTTATAAATTCTGTATATAAAAATACTCTAAATAACTACAGTTGTATTCTATCTATCCTAAAAAGCAACATTTCTTTATTTTGTAGGATGTCAGAAATCACAGCATATTTTTGTCTAATTCCTTGTTCAATATAAAGCCTTAAGCTTATTATATGCATAAAGAGATACATTTTCACAATATCAAACTAAAGTGTCGAGTAAATTAGAGAAAATTCCTCTGCGAGAAAGAGACAAAGACTACAAGCCAATAGCAAAATCAAGGTTGCTATAGTTATTTACATTCTCAACCAATCGGAAGGGCCTTAATTATCAAATAAACACTTGATTGTAAAATTTACAAGTGATAATTTAACAAATATAAACAATTAACTGTTGCTCGCAACTTCGTCCGCATGAAATTACACAGTAAAAAATTTATACCATATGTTACTTACAGACAAATTACCCTTCTATCAATGAAAGATTTTTTTTAAATCGGCCCAGTAGTTTTAAGTTATTTCAAAACATATTCAAATACAAATACAAATATTTCCTCTTTATATTAGTATAGATAAAATAAAGCTTCATATCATGCGGATCTTAAAAATTACCAAGCATACAATAGCTAGCTATCTATTAGTACCTGGCGTGTTCTCTGTCCGCGGGGTGCGCTGGCGCGGGGTGCGCGGGGTGCGTGGGGTGCGGGGCGGGTGCGGGGTGCGCGGGGTGCGCGTGGGGCGCGATGGTGACGGCGTGGGGCGGGCGCGCGCTGCGGCACACGTCGCACCGCGCGCCCCACACATTGTACGCGAACCAACACTCGCTGCATTGCCACATGCGACCACTAACACGGACAAACAAATGTCTGACTTCTGTTAACGCCGCCCTTGCCCAAACCCTTTAGTAGTTTAGTATACTTATTGTAATACTAGCTTTCGCCCGCGACTCCGTCCGCGTGGTATTAAAAAAAAAACAAAAATAAGTACCCTATGTGTTCTTCCATACTCTGCTCTGCATCTATGCCAAATTTCATTCTGATCCGTTCAGCCGTTTAGGCTACAAACTCTAACAAACATCCATCCATTCATGCATCCATCTAAACTTACGCATTTATAATATTAGTTAGATTTGTACAAATTAACTAGATACATAAATAATTATACTACTGAGAGCACTAATGTTTCACGGGTTAAACACTCGACTTGTCTGCAAGTTATGGGTTCCAATCCAAAGGGATTTTTTAATTTTACGTGTACATTTACCACACGTTTTCATAGTAAAGGAACCACTAATGCAACCACATATTTAAAAAAATTTAAAGATATTTGTGAAGTCAACTTGAGTGGACCAACTTAACTATAGCATAGCCTAGACATACCTAACTTACTATAGATTCTAGCCCCACAGTATAGGAAATTAATTGAATTAAGGGTGACAAACTATAGTACAAAACATTCGTCACTGACATCACATTGCACTATACCTAGTCTAAATAGATCCCTTATTTTATATACCTCACATATAAACTAGAGATCAACTTACGTTGGACAAATCAACAAGACTGTAGATTTCAATTTTTATATGTAACAATCGACATAAAATAAATAGTAAATGTTAATTAAAACTTTCTACAATACATTAAGAAAGCGGCAACAAAATCTGTTAAGCCGTTCCTGAGATAATCGCACACAAACACACAGACAAATTCTTACATCACTAAATTCCACAGCCCACAGAGAATATAATTCAACCTAGACATAATTAAAGTAATAAAAAAAATAACTCACACAGGTTGTGTAGAAGGCACTTTAGTAGATTCCCTCGGTTGTGAAACTTTCCCTATAGAAGGGAGCATATTGTACACTTTAGTAGTTGGTTCCTTCACATGGGAACTTTTCACATTGTTCTGAGAATCATTGGCCGGGGATAAACAATTCTCTGCACCTAATAATTCATCAATTCTCGCGTAATCACCATCATTTATATCATTGGAATATAATGCTTCATTCTGAGAGTTACTCATTACCGTCTTTGTATCTTGTACTGAGACATAAGAATATCTTGTACCATTATTGTTAACTTGCAATTGCAAATTCAAATCTTTGTATTTCCCTTTATTTGGTAAAGCGTAGATAACACCTTCTGCATTTGTATCCCAACTGCATTCTTTATCTATTAACTCTGTATTACCTTCTTCTATCTTCTTTTCAGCTTCTTTATCAGATTTCACATTAGCATATTCTAAAGATTTATGATAATCACTCAAACTTCTTCTACTTGATATCACTTTACCGACCGGTCTATTCTCTGTATGTTCTGAAAAAGATCTTCGGTAAGTCGGTCTTATTTCTGGTGAGTTTTGCGCTGAAATAGATCTTCGGAATGTTTCTATAGAACTGCCTGTTTGTGGCCAATCTGGTACAGTAATCATGACTCCACCTGACGTAGGCAGAGATGTGGCCCCATCTCTCCCGCTAGCAGTCTCGTGTCTACCTAAGGTGGTTACACTCAGACCTCTTGTATTAGAGATTCTCGCCAAGGGAGATATTCTGGGTGAAAGGCAGGCCTCACAATGAGTTCTGATACCAGAATTCTCTAGAGTACATTTACTGCAAGCCCATTTTTTCAAATATAATGCTTTACTCTGTTCCCGTTGGTATTCCTTCACATAATTTAATTCCCAATTCGACTTGCTTTCATTTGATTTCTTCGGTTTCCTTGTCACTGAATGTATACTTCTCAGAAATGATTCTCTCGGGTTATACTGGGTGGTATTGAAACCATATCTCTCCGAGACCATGAGACTTGTAGGTCTATTGATAGTGCCTCTATTCTCTTCTACATTCCACCACTTCTGTTGGGAATTGATCACTGATCCATGGGACAGAGATCTGGTGACTCCGTGTGCTTGGTCTGTAAGTTGAGTAGGAGATAAACGGAGTGACTGAAGATCAAGGTTGAGACGGCGACCGTCAGAAAAACTGGATGAAGGCTTGTATGAAGGAACAGCCAGGGTGTTGGATCTTATCATAGTGTTATCTGAAAGGAAGAAGAAATAAAAAACTTACTTTTGTAACACACAAAAGAACTGATAGTACTCTTAAATGACAATCATACTAAAATTATAAATACGAAAGTTTAGATGGACGGATGTTTGCTAGAGTCTGTAGCCTTAACATCTGACTAGATTTGGATGAAATCCAGCATAGATCTAGGACATAGTCTGGAAGAACACATAGTCAACTTCCTTATTTTTTTTTAATTCAAGGAGGTCGAAATCACGAGCGAAAGCTAGTAAACTAATGATTAATTTACCTTGAGCCGATTTATCCTTGTCCGTCATCCCTGAAGCTTGTTCTTCATCATCAGACAGTCTGGAAATATTATCAAACATATTTTAGAAATAAACTAAAACAAATAAATACAATATAATATCATTTACCAACATCCTTAACCAAATGAGCACTTAGTCCACTACATTACTAAAGAGTTACATTTTCTCCTATACTCTCAGAGTTTTAACTGACTTCTTCAGTTAAAGTCTGAGAGTGGGCGAGTTAGAGTCAAACTATTCAGTTAAAACTATATGTATAGCATAGCGGATGAATTTAAAATGTTAATAGTATGAACAAGAACTAAGAAGAGCTTTGACCAACATCTCAAGAAGCTCTCGTTAGACAGCTGGCCCAATTCAGAAGGCAGTTATTTTAGAAACTGCACGCTTGGTAAGGAGGCTTCTGTCTCTACAGCTGTGACCACTGGTTGCTTGAATCACCACAATTCGCAGCCAGTGGTGTTCTATTTTTATAAATATATATGAAATCTAAAATAACAAGAATTAAAAAATTGCATGGGGAAAGTGTCAAAGAAAATAATGAAATAGTTAATGTAGTTCTACCCCACCTGTATACAGGTGCATGAGGTGCAAGCGCATCGCAAGCGGTGCAGCGCCACGCCGCGGACACATTCCGAAGTCCGCAACCGCAGCGCCACGCACGCCGCGCCAGTGGCGCTGATCCCACGCAGGACCATCCGCTGCACAAACAAGTCCCATTGTATTGGACATTAATGTCTCTTTCAAACTAGCTTACGCCCACAACTCCATAAAAAAAAAACAAATGTAAGTCGCCTGTGTATTCTTCAAGACTATCCTCTTCTACTCTATGCCAAATTTCATCAAGATCAATTCAGCTGTTTATGCGGCAAACTCTAACGAATATCCATTCCAAAATTTCATATTTATAATATTAGTAAGATATGTCTAGATACCAATATTGTGACATTTAAAATCCAGTTATCTTACTTCTTACTAATATTATGAATGTGAAACTTTTTATGGATGGATCTTTTTCAATATTTATCTCAAAAATGGCTTTATGGACCTCACAAATTGGCACAGATGTAGAATATAGTCTAGAATACATAGGGTATTTATGAAGTCACAGGCAAGAGTTATTTCACTGAATAGAATGCAACAAAGTTTAGACTAAACAGACAAACATAGCTTATGATTCTAGTCAATCAAAATATTTGTAACATAAATAATGATTCATAATACAATAAAAGATGTAACAATACCAAAGGTAGCATTTATAGTAATTAATAGTCTTTGACCAACATAGTCTTGTTTAATAGATGTGCAATATACTAATATGTTTTTTAAACATTGTCTGGAGTTGATTCAGACATTAATATGGTTTGTATAAGACTGAATCTAAATGAACTATAAAGCTTATTTTACATAAGTTATACAAATATTTTTTTTAATGTACAATGAAAATATAAAGCTGCTATAAAACTTCCAGCAATCAAATGAAAAATATCTATGATGGCATCAATGCATTAAAAGCTTTGTTTCTAGCGAATAATAACATACGCCGAATACAATAAACCTTCCAATAGGTAATTATGATTATGGACTTCGTCTACATCCACAAACAAATATAGTACAATGGTAATTATAACCTAAATATAGGCGGAGAAAAATCGATAATTTCTGACATTACCAACAATGGAAGGAATGTCAATCTGTTACGAAAATACACACCTATTGAAATTATTTGTTGTCGGTATAACGATAATTTCCGAGCCAGGAGTCGTGCCTCCACTTTTTTCCGTACGAGAAGCGTATTCTGATGATGAGTCTCCGGTAAAATAGCGTTTTTGTGATCCACTGTCATGACTCGAAATTCTCTTTGTACCACATTTTAAGCATTTTACACTCTCCGTTGGGTTGATCTGACCACACGCCTGACAATGCCATTGCAGCACCGATGCGATGGAGCCCATTTTAATTCACACATGGCTATGTGACCATACAATGCTTCGTTTATGGAAACAATTTACTGATAAAGAAAAATGAAAACAGCTGATCCACCATGTTGTTTGTATATAACTTTTTTATACGGATGTTGCTATCAAAAATTAACTCCACAACTCTAATTGGTTTTATTTAATAACAAACATTTAATTTTACGTGTAAACTACAAATCAATAGTGTGGATAATATTATTTCAAAGTATTGCATTTAAAATCTAATAAGATTCTCATTAATTTACTTTGGAGAGACATCTATTGGTAAAGTTAGAATCACTTTTTTTTAACAACAAGCAACAATTGATTTTATTAAAAGGAACGCTAGATGGCGTAAATACTAATAGGTGAATAAGAAAAAATACTTCCGACTTTCACGACGATATTTCCAAAGTAGGGCGATTAGAAAATAAAGATATGATTTTTTAAATATCATTTCATGATCAATGAACACAATTATTTTTTCGCATAATAGATGGCAGTGTAGAAAATATTGAACACGCTATGGTTATGTTATCATGCCAGATTTAGGTCCTTGCCGCTAGTGGCGCTAAATCGTGCCTCAATTTATTGAGTAAGGAAATTATTGGGCCTTGGTAACGCTTGGCTATGTCCTAGTAAAGGGCGACCGTATTTTTGCAGGGTACAGGTCGTCCCGTGAGTTGCGCGCCTACTTTGTGCGCGATTCCGGTGAAGCGAACTGCCCTGATAAAGACATGACGATATAAAAAAATTAAACCCAACCACTCTAATCTTATTATTAATAGCTGGTATTCTAGAATCTAGATTAAAATAAACCCATTATAGTCACTTTTCACCTACAATAAACAATACCGAGAACCGAGAAATGGTATAAACCAGACCCGAAAAAGAAATGAAAATTTAGTTCTCTACAAGGAAAATCTTTACAATTGGAATATTTTTTAAGTCGGTATTAGAGTTAAGTTTAAGTAATCCATCAAGTTAATCACATACCAAGTGATCAACACCTGTTCTATTCAACTTACGATAAACCAAGTTAACGATGTTTATTCATCAATAACACGCAAAATAAATAAAACAGCAGTCAATATTTGACAAAAGACGACAAATTGCCATCACTACTTTAAAGGTTAGAATTGCAAAAGTCTTACTTTTAAATAATAATTAATTTCATACATAAATGTGTATTTTTGTACTGGGTGCCGCAATCCGAGTTCAGCTATAAAACCTTTACTAATATTATAAAGAGGAAAGATTTGTATTTTTGTATGTATTGAAATAACTCAAAAACTACTGGGTCGAATTAAAATATTCTTTCACCGTTGGTAAGGTAATTTATCTGTAAGTAATGTAGGCTATGTATTTTAATTTCATGCGGACAAAGTTGCGAACAACAGCCAGTATCCAATATTAAGTAAAACTCGGAACTTATAAAATGTTTTATGTTTTGATATCGCAAGTTGATGGTAACAGCTGTGGATGATGTAATAGTTTTAGTTAACTTCTGAACGGAGTTTGACTTTGTGATCGCTTTTATGACCATCTTAAACTCGTCCGGAATACCAAATAACACATTCCGTACAATAGGTATACTTACGAGCTATTTTACTTGTCGGTAAACCAGTCAACCCCATTATTCTTCCGCGAGAACCTGGCCCTCCTTTGCGTCCGAGATTACCAGTGGTAGAGCCCGCTTTAACATATTCGCACTGTAGTAACGACTTGCCCACGACCACACAGAAGACAGGTGTGAAATGGAAGCAATTCCAGGTACAGTCTGATGATTGTGCGCACCGGAGGCCTAATATTGATCCCTTTCCGTTTCTTTTTTCTTTAAGGATGGACCAACGTCACTTCGTGCGTCGTCAGTCGCCTGTCAAAATAAATAAATAGACTAAATATATCTCTTGGAAATTATTTAGGGACATATAACAAAGAGAAAATTGTCCGCATGTAACTCACTCCCTGAGATTTCCTTATAATGGAAAAGAACATTTCCCTTGACGAATTGAAAAAGTTCGCTTGATGTTGAGTTAGTTATTTTTCTCTGACGTCCCATAAGAATTATGATTTCCTGAAAAACTCTCATTGTTTTCAATTTAATATTTATGGAATACACAATACCTTTTATTATTGTTTTAATCTTGTCAATCTCACTAATAGGCAATATGCATATAACGCCAAATTGTACCAAACTTTTTTTAAGTATACTTTATTACTATAAAAACATTTCTGCAAAGATTTTTTTTAAAAGTAATGTGATTTAGTGGCAAAATTTAATCATTAAAAAGTGTATTTTTTCAAATTCCCTCGCTATGTTTTAAAACGCACAGTATTGGTCGAAGCAAGTGGCTTATCTAATATAGCGTCGCTGTGTTGTCAATACACAGTTCATCTACGTTAGTTTATATAGAAATACACTCTTGAAGTATTTTAATGTAAACACGATATCAAAAGCAACTTTAAAATAAAAAAATAACGAATATAATTATTATTTACCACTTATTTGTACCAGGAATAATAAAAATGAATCGATTTTTGACTTTTTGACCTTGAGAAACTTTGTTTTACGTCGAAGTGACATCTGAGCGTATGTCATGAATGGAATAGACGATTGACGTCAGTCGTCTCATGACAACTTCGGTCGCGTTTTAGTCGCTCGAAAATGGTCGTATTTTTATTTTATTATTTTTAGCTCAATGGTTGAATATTTTAGCGTCAAATTTTTTTTGTGGTTATTTTATGACAAGTAGAATTGTTTAAAAAAAAGAAAAAAATACATGCATATTCCCTATTATAAATGCAAAAGTTTAGTTGGATGGATGGATGGATAGATGTTTGTTAGAGTTTTTAGCCTAAACGGCTGAACGGATCTTGATGAAATTTGGCATAGACATAGAGGATAGTCTGGAAGAACACATAGGGTACATAATGTTTTTTAATTACTCGCGGTCAGAGTTGCGGGCGAAAGCTAGTTAAAATGAAGATAGACAATAATATGCACAGCTAAAGTAACATAAAGTGATATAAGTCAGAGATTCATTTATATTAAAGGAAAAGTGGATTTGACGGTGGAGAGGATGCATAGGAAGGGAAATTGTCCTCTTTTTGTGCGTCTCCTCCTTCATCAATTAAGGGTGGGCAACGCATCTGCAATTGCGGATGTTTATGGGCAGCGGTCACTTTCAATTTCGATGAATTCAGGTGGCCGCTTGCTCATTTGCCACCTTATATTATAAAAATATATACATACGGAGAGGCACATAAAGAGGATAGTTCCCCTTTCTATGCGTCTCCTCCACCGTCAAATCGACCGTAATAAGTCTTAAGTTACCTATTAGTTACATGTAGAGGGAAATAATGTAATAAAAAGTCCTTGAATTTAATAATTATTTATTAAAATTCCATGCAAATTAAAGTCGTGAACCAATTATTAATGTGTTACGAAACTGAAATCGAAGGCAATAAAATTATACGTATTTGCTTATTTATTGAAGCGGTAATAACATATTCAGTTAACATGAGGAATAAGTAATAAATTATTGTTTCACAATTTATTTAATTCCATTCCACAAGCTTTTCTGTGAAAAAATTGCAAAAATTCAACAGAAACATAATACTAGGGAATAATAATTCCCTGTAAAATACAGTTTACATTTTAGTGCAATGTACAAAAAGCAATAATAGATGGCGCTAGTGGTTAAAATGGTACACTCGGATGACAATAGCTTTTGAGTTTCATAGACGTGTTCACAACAAACCCATTTACGGAATGATTTTAAGGAAACCTTGTGCTTTCTTGTTGCAGTAAATTGTGTATTGTAGAGCTCTGCCGTTTGTACGAAATTATGTTAGCTGCATCTCTGAGAATTATTTAAACTGAATACGTTGTAGGAATATAAAATGTGCCACGGATTTGCACCTCATTTTATATGGAGAAATATTTATGCAGCTTTGCGGTGTTTTATTAAAACTTACCTGTAGGTACGTACATATGGTAATGTTTTAGACTTTTTTATGTTATGTGCTAATAGCTTTGTGTTAAGGTCTAGAATGTGGTATTTAATAGTAAGCCAACATTGACCGCTATAATTTATTTATAAGTACTGGCTATCGACAATCCATCAAATTAAAAAAATAATAAAAACAAGATTTTTTCTAGGCGCGAAGCGCGAAACGCGAATCAAAAGAGTGCAAGATATACGAAAGAAAACATCGTAATTGTGTATAAGAATATATTTTTATATTTAATAGTTTTTTCCAATGACGTTGCACTCAAATAAGATATGTGGCTGATAAAAAGGGCGTTATAAAAAAAGGCGGATAAAACTAGATCACCGCGCTATAATATTTGGTGTCCCGGACAGTTGCATCGAGACGCCTTACACTGTGGGGTCCAGAAGGATGCGGGGGGAGGTGTGCAGGCGTGTGTGACGTCATCGTGCCGTTTTGAATTGGGAATAAGTGATTATTTTAGAAGAAAAAGTGCAGATTTTATTTTATCTATTGGAATTTTAATGGTTTTATTTTTATGTATTTCTATTTGTGTCTAATTTTAATTTAGATAAGGTTTGTTATTGTATATTAAGATACAGTTTTAGTTTGTACAAATATTTTAGAAGTTTTATTAGTTCTTATATTTTTAATTCATTGAAGATTACATTTTTTTTGTAATCCGGTTAGGTCTTGTGCAGTTTTCACTGAAGAATTAAGAACGATATTTCTGATATTACGCGATTGTTATTTCATTATCTCCGACGTACACTGCCGGCCAAAAGTTTGATCCCACTATGTACACAGATTATAATTTGCAAAATGTTTTAAATCTGCGTATGATAACATAACAATATGAACACCTGTGACTACTAATGATTTTGAATGTCTAAACACCATTTCTCTTATCTATTACACAATGAATATACCATAAATGGGCATTGGGCCTATGGAATTAAATTCTGCAACCGCTCGTCACATACATAAAAATCTTTGTAATGAATATTAAATTGAAACTAATAATGAAAAAAATATGAAAAATTCGATGCAATTTGTAAACTATTTCTCCGTAAAAACAGGAATAAATTCGAAA